TGTACAGTTTTCCCGAATCAGTATGACATCCTGGTATTTTTGGCATACAGCAGATCTCGCAGTTGTTCACATACTGCATACTGCATTTTGGCCAAATCAGTATGTACTAGTAGTATAGTATGCGGTTTCGAAAACAGCCTGTGTCGTTTCTCTTCCTGCAGCTTGAAGTTTTGGAGTCTTGAGGACAATTTGTGAGTCAGCCTGAAGATAGAAGAACACCTGGAAGGTTTTATATCACTAAACGTGAACTTCAAACGTCTGCAGCCTCACCGGAGATTAAGAATGATTTTTAATCATGTAAGAGTATGTGTGTGTGTGTGTGTGTGTGTGTGTGTGTGTGTGTTTGTGTGTGTGTGTGTGTGTGTGTGTGTGTGTGTGTGTGCGTGTGCGCATTTACAGTCTATGGTTCATATTTAATATTTACAGTCAATGTCATTACGTACTTTCCCACAGGACCGTGAACGCTTCATCACATTTATCTCGCGAGAGCAGACTTCCCCTGACAACATTGTACGTGGCTTCACAGCTGAGGACTTGGAGCGATCACGGGGATGTTTCAGTTGAATATACACAGACTGACAACATCTGGATGCTATGAACTCTTCTCATTGACTTTGACATTTGATTAAACACGGCGGCTACTGTCGTCAGATCTTTTTATCCACGTTCTCTCGGGAGTGACGAGAGCTTCACGGACTGCAGGATCCGCCGGGTGCTGAAGTCTCCCCCCTTTTCCGTAGATCAGCCAATATCCATATGTGATATGGCGGAGATCGGGTCGTCGGTTGAAATCTCCGGCTCTCTGGCGAGCTCGACCCTTCCTCCGCCGAGGACCCGCATCTTTAAGATCATCGTGATCGGGGACTCGGGTGTCGGGAAGACTTGCCTCACATACCGCTTCTGCGCCGGGAAGTTCCCCGAGAAGACCGAGGCCACGATCGGGGTGGACTTCAGGGAGAGGCTGGTGGAGATCGACGGGGAGAAAATCAAGGTGTGCTGTGCAGACACATGACAGCTCTATAAATATCTAAAGACATGATGTCACCTCTTGGAGAGTCCAAAACGTAAATACTGAAATATAACCTATAGGAGCAGAAGGGGAGAGCAGGGGCGCATGTTTTACTGTTACATTTGAGGTGTACAATTAATATGTATTATCAAAGATACACGGTGAACATGTGGCGGTAGGGTGTGTCTGTCATCTGTCTTATTTATGCGACATAGAGCAGCTCATTTGTTGCAGTTTAGGGTTAAATGCCTTGCTTAAGGGCAGGGTAGTGGCTATACACAGGTAGGCTACTAATGTACTGGCTCCTATGCAAACAGCTTAAAATAAGCAGAGGGTAAATAACCTTCTTTTATTGTTATTATTCTTAGGAACATCCTAGCCATTTAAATGTTTCTTTAATCAAATTGTTAAGAAGAGAAACACCAAATTATGTTCAAACTTCCCCAGGTGCTATCAGGTTTCTTTTTCCCTTCATAATATTGATATAACTCCTCAAGCATCAGAAATACAAATAGCCTAACCGTGATGAGTAAACACAATTCAAGCAAGCAACAAACAAACAAATACAATTAAAGCAACATGTGCTAATGTATTCTACAGATAAATCAAGCAGCAACATCCGGTGTTAAAAACAACAATATACGTAAAAATCAAAAAGTTAGAAGTTTTTTTTTGTTTTTTTTTTTGAAAAAAAAAATTGTCATCGGCTGAGATGTGTCCTTTTTCATGTCCCTCTTCCATTTCTTGTAGTCCAAAAACTCCAAGTCACAGACCAAAAATGTTTTCTTAACAGGCTTATAGATGTGTTTTTAAAGAAGTCATTCTTCCTCTAGATGTTTTTTCTTGGTCTTTCTTGTTTTTGGTCTTTTAATTGGGAATGAAACCATGTCCACTCATCAGTCTGCATGCTGCCCCCTCACAGATCCAGCTGTGGGACACTGCAGGTCAGGAGCGCTTCAGGAAGTCCATGGTGCAGCACTACTACCGCAACGTGCACGCTGTCGTCTTCGTCTACGACGTCACCAATGCCGCTAGTTTCCGCAGCCTCCCGGCCTGGATCGAGGAGTGCAAGCAGCATGCTCTGGGCACGGAGGTACCCAGGATCCTTGTTGGAAACAAGTGCGACCTCCAAGACTCGATCCAGGTGGGCACGGATGTGGCGCAGCAGTTCGCTGACGCCCACTCCATGCCCGTGTTTGAGACGTCTGCAAAGAACCCAAACAGCCAGGGAGACGGTGGGAACTGTGGCGGAGCAAACAGCGACCACGTGGAGGCTATTTTTATGACCGTGGCTCACAAGCTGAAGTCTCAGAAGCCTCTGGTGCTGAGCCAGCCGCCCGAGGGGTCAGGGGTGACCGTAAACCTCAACAGGGGGACGGACGACGGGGGAGGCGGGGCCAGGAGCTGGGGCTGCAGCAGCTGCTGAGGGCGAACAAATGGAGGGAGAGAGAGGATGAAATCTTAAGAGTGCACATGACTGAAGAGACTGCAGATGGATAGAGGAAGGTTGTAAGCTTCAGAAACAGCACTACACATAGATGAATGTCACTGTCAGTAGACGATACAGTCTTTTAAATGCTTGTGCTTCACGATATATAAACGATTCTGGGCTACTAATCACAGAATCATTGTTGTCTGGGAGTTCCAAAGTCCTTTGTTGCTTTGTGGAAATCATCCTGAACAAGGAGCCAAAAACTCTGATTGTAAATATGTTCTCTCCGGTGCCATTTGAGGTTTATCATTAACTTCTTTTCATTCGTTCTTTGGCATCAGAAAACATTCAGATAAAGTGGTGGTGATGAATACGGGAAATGATGTGAAATCAATGTGAATGAGAGTTTGATTTCCTCAAACAGGCGAGTAGTGAAAGGACGAGAAAACACAACCCTTTTCTAATTGAACACTGTGCGCCATCTTGTTTGTGTTGAGCCTGTTGGAGAGATTTTACTTGAGTCACTCAAGCCAAAAGTTGAGGCAATCATTTCATTGAAAGGTGTTCATTTTGGGTTTGTTTGGGTTCAGAGTTCATCGGTGATCAAATGGCCACGTGGTGTTGTATCATAATGTTCTTAAGCCGAACATATCAGTTCAAAAAAACATCGGCATTGGCAATATTTTACGACCTGCGTTGCACAACTCATGATTGCTATCTTGCAGTCTTCCTGCCTTCTGCAATGCTCTGCTGAATTAATCATCTGTGTCCAATCCATGAAGAACAGTCAAACAGTCGGGTAGTGTCGTCAGAAATGTGAATTGCTTCAGCATCATGCACATGCCACCGGAGCATTAAGGTGTGAGCAATGAAGATCCTCTCATAAAGTCCAAAGATCCACAGTGTACGTTTAAGACTGGAAACCTTTACTCTGAAAAATAAATGTTCATTCAGTGTGGAGGAAAGACTTCTCATAGGAGTTTTTTCTGTTCGAAGCAAAAACATATCCAGATCTCTAAAATCCTGCAATGATTTAAAAAAAGGAAAAAAAGAAAAAGAGGCTTGTGGTTCAAATCTTACGTTTACACGGGATGCAGAAAGGCTCCCATCAGTGTCATCCATTATCTGTGTCGAAATAGTGGCAACAGTGCGTCTCTGGCTGTCGTCACATCACACCTTCCCCATATGTTGAATAAATGTGATTAATCCTGAATTAGTCCAGATAGAAAGTGTCTGAAGCAGAGGGAAACATGATGTTTCAGCCACAGTGAATAAGCTGTTTCAGGACCGTTTTCTTCAGGAGATAGTGGAGGTTAAAAGCGTCTAAACAGCACATGAAGGGAATAAAAAATGTTATGCATTATTATTGATTTATCAAAAGCAAAGTGTGCTTAAAAAATGCCTCTGTGAAGTGAACCGGTTTGACAAAAGTTAATGGAATTTTGCTTGATAACTTCTTTTTAAAGATTCATTTTTGGGGCCTTTTGTGCCTTTTTATTTGAGAAATAAGATGGGTGATAGAGCCGGAAATCAGGGAAAGAGAGAGAGAGAGAGTGAGGAATGACATGCTGGTCGGATTTGAAGTTGGGCCACCCACTTGGAAAACTACAGCTCCCATTATTGATAACTGGTTTTTGACAGTAAGCAAGCTAAACTGCAACTCCCCCCCCCTTTGGTACCAAACAAAACACTTCTCTGTCGGGGATCATTGCCAGTTTGTAATAAAGTATCCAGGACAGAGATATAAATCTGGTTTTAGGGATGTATTTAGTAGTTAGCTAGTTTGTCAGCGGTTAGTAGACACACAGCGTTTGTCAACGGATTTTCAGGATTTGTACGAAGCTAATGAGGTGACATGGATATGTTGTTTTTGTTTTTTAAACACGCTCTTTTTATTTTCTGGGCAGCCATTTTATAATTCACATGCACGTTCTAAGTAACTCACGTGCGTATCTGTATTTCACGCACTCATTCTGTGAAGTTCAAGCGCTTTCAGTAACTGGCACATGCGTCTTTATTTAAATAAATTAAACTAATATCGACCATATTCCTACGGCGGCTTTGTTGCTATGTTTGATAACCATAGCATTCAACCACTTCCTGGTTAACATTTATGTTTGAGAATCACAGATACGATATGATTTAGAGCAAAATTATTGTAGCCTGAGGTCAAACTTGATGGATCATTTCAATAAAGTAACATACCAACCATGTCACCTCCGGGGCGCCGTAGATTTGTGTTAGCAAGCTGTACTGTTAGCAAGCTGTACTGTACGCTCCCTCGTCTTCTCTGACTGTTTATTCAACCAATGGTTTTCAAAATGTCAGTTGGGAATCAAATATCTGGTATGGAGAAGACAGATGGTTTCTGAGCGGTATTTAACCTGCGCTACCCCTGCTAACTAGCGTGTTAGCGAGTAGCTCAGTTAACCAACAAGTGAACGTTTCGTTCACAGTTTGTACTTCTTCCATATTTAACTGCAGAGACTGTCACTATGGAAGTCAATGGATTTGTATTTATGTCTGTTTATTAACACACAGCAAAAGAGCGGACATTACCACAGGAAAATGTTTATTCTTCTGCTCTTTGGAGGACGTTGTGTGCATCATGATGAATTTGATGACAAAGGATACAAAGGGAAACGGTTTGGTATTTGGAAATGGATTCAAGCCAAATTTGTCTGTGTGTTTGTTTTTTTCTTCTTCTCTGCTAAAAAGCATAAAAAACTGTTGGCTGGCCTCTGAATCAAACAGTGAAAACATACCTCTCATATTGTGTTCATGGATTCCTATTATCCACTACATTTCCTTGATGTTTGCTTATGATACTCAGCACGTCTCACAAACACTTTTGTATGCTGAAATGAACAGTGTCTTTATTATCCATGTTTCACTCTATGGCTGGTGTCTGTGGGAGCAACGTGGTGATCAGAATTCAAATGAAAAAGCTCATTTGAAAATGAAAACGCATTAACAGAAATGTTTTTTATTTTCAGAATATGGGTGCCTTATTTGACTCACAAATAAAATTCATATTTAATCATCCAATTTGCATTTGAATTCACCCAAAATACACTGCTTATGTGCTGATTAAAAGAGAAATCTGTAAGATATCTACTGAATGAAATGATAACATGACCTTACTACATCATCAGACATTAAGGAAACATGATGAAGTTCTGGCTTCTCAATGCAGCAGTCAGTATGTCCTCCTTCTAACTTTAGATTCTGCTCCTGAATGGTCTGTATTTGTTTAGACCAGAGAAGGTAGGCTTGAGAAACCTTGTTCGTCTGGGGAATCAAACCGCCTACCTTGACGAGGCAGCGTTTTCACACACTGAACTACAGAGAAGACAAAATCCAATGCCAATTACATCACAAAGGAAAACTTTGGTTTTCAGACCTTAAACTTTTAACAATTATAATTTTCAAAATGTTGAGCATAACTATAAAAAATATAAGGAAGTGAAAATTCTTAATTGAATTTGGCGGCGAATATTTCATTCAATTTCCTTACATTTCGTAAGGCTAATGGGTTATGAGTCTTGAATACGAAACACTTCATGACTGACCACATGGTGGCGCTATAGTATAATTTATGACAATGTTAGGCATTGTACAATTAGCATTCCCACATTCCCAAAGGTTGAATACTTCAGCACTTTAAGTTTGAGAGATATCAGCTTCTAAGAATTGCTCCAATTGATTTTTAATCATTTAAAAAAAATTCATATAAAAGCACGGTCACATTTAAGTGTGATGAAAAGTAGAAGCCGTCACAGCACACACTGGAGTCTGCACTGTTAGTGAGAAGCTTTTTGTTTTCTCAGGAATTGAACCCAGTTTCTTCGAGTTGGTGGACTTCACAGCAGTCTTAACCACTGCGCCACAGTGAGGACGGATGTTCACAACACACTTCCACTATGTGAAGCAATGACATCACATGAGGAACACTCTTGTTTTTGGTCAATAAACTTTAAACACTTCAAATTTTCAAACTATTGAAAATGACATTAAATTCAGTGACATTGAAAAATGTTTGCCTACAGTACTGATTACCGTTTACTGTCGCTACCGGCCCATCGTTATTAGATACGTGTGATGTAGGGTATCTAACCAATATCTGTACCAATTTTGGTATGATTTAAGTAAAGGCTTGATGAGTTACAGTGGTTCATTGTTTATGCATAGTTTGAAAAATATAGTGACAAACTTCTGAGTTGACCATAGGTTGCAGCACGGCACACGATCACCAGATTAAAGGAACATGCTGTGTGAATATTATTAATGCTGTTTCCAGCTCTCACACTAATAATGTCGACCTTCAAGCTGCTGCAGCTTTTTGACCTCTTCAAGTCTTTCACTCTCCATGCACCTTGGTAGTTTGTGAAGTATTGCCAAAAAAACCCAACTCTGCTTCTTCATTCAATTGTCAGATTTGCTTTTTCATTTGAATTCTGACCAACATTTTGCTAGCCTAGGATGTCCACACTATGTGAAGCAGCTTTGTCACAGCTGGTCCTGTGGCTGCTCCGCTGCAAACACCAAACATCATGTTGCAGGACTATCAGTCAAACCAAAAGGCCCTCTCTCAGGACTCGTTCAGTGGCTATGCACGTGAATGAAAACTAAAGCAAGCAGAGCAACAGGCCGCGTCTCAAGACTGTTTTATTGTTTTATATTTGGCGGCAGCTTTCTTGTGTTCTTTAAGTGTCCTTTGTTTTTGATAAATACGCCTTCACATCGATCCTTTGACAATTTCCTTTGCCTTACTTTCCTACACTACAGCAACGAACAAGTGATGCGATTGGAACTGCAATCCGCCAAAAGGAAAACCTCAATCACAGAACGATGTTCAAGTCATGAATGAGTCACTAATGAGTGAGGATGTGAGAAAAGAGAGACGCTTGTGATGTTTGTGTGTGTACCTTTGCAGTAAACAACCTTGAACCATCAAAATGTGGAGTTTTGTTTTTCTTGAATGCAATACAATAAACAGCTAAGTGAGGAGATCTTTATTAAATACAGATAAAAAGAAGACAACAGTTTCAAACAGCATACAGATAAATCACACATCAGAGTTAACATATACACACACAGCAGCTCTTCAACAATGGCAATGTTTAAACGAGTATTTATGCAAATATCTTTGGTTAAAATAAAGTCACTGCCACAGCCCAAAGTGCTCGGTCCATCTAACATCTCATATCTGGATGAAACGTCTCTTTACAACATTTAAATTTCATGTGAAATGTGTTGGCACAACTTTGAGGACACATATTCCAGATGAACAGGACGTGTTGTCAGGTCAGTCTGCTGTATGGAGGCAGTTTGGAGGGAGCCTCCTCTCCCTCTGTGTTGGTCTGGTTAGTAGATTGAGCTGGAGAGTTGAAGAGCCTGTCATCACCCCCTGCTGGACACAAACAAGTACTACATCAAATTAAATCTTAACTTGAGCAAAATAAGAGCAAGCTCCAAAAATTCAAATTTCATAGGAGTAAAAAAAGCCAGACCAAAACATTAGTTCTTACCTTGCCAAGTACAAACCATCTCAGTGTCCCCAGGATCACACTGAGGAACCAGTGTCTCCTAAAAAAACACATTAACAAGAAAAAAAAGGTTACATCTACACACTTTACATTTAAGCTACAAAATGCTAAATATTTAAAGATGAATGACTTCATCTCAGAATGTATCCTGATCAGATATATCTGTAATCATGGTGTCTTAAGTAGTCCAAAGAGCCTGAGAAGACTACGACTGTCTCCAACTGACCTGAAGTGTGAAGCTTGAAGTTGAATCACATCATTCAGAGGCTCGTCAATAAACGGCTCGCAGTGAGCTGAAAAAAGTTTTTCTCCGGTGTTGAGTCAAGCCAAAGCTCAACAATTCAATCACGGATGTGGGTATTATTAATGCACCCCTCTCACCACTTTGTTAAACAAACGAACATGCTCTGTTGAGTGAGAAAAGCGAGCGGCAGAGCCTTATAGAGCACCCTCCACATCCCTCGTTTGTCTGCGCGAGCCACAGAGAGGAGAATACAAACAGGGGGTCGGGGTTACTCGGGGGCAACAATAGAATCAAGCTGAATTTGATGCTGACGCTCCCTCATGTTGTGTGCTGTTAGGACAGGTTGTAACAATAGCTTCATAGTTTACAGTCATCTCAGCACTGCCTGCATCATATGCATCAGAGCACCATCAGAAATGAATATAATATAATAATGTTACATCAAAGGTCAAATTATTTCAATCAGTTGGATTATCGAAGGGCTTTCACACTTGCAGAAATCTCCTGAAAAACTACAGGATATTTCCCGTAAGTGCCTGTATATGTGAGCGCAATGGGCCAAATTTTTCACTGACTTCACCCGGAGTTTCTCCTGACAGAACCCTAGTATTTTTTTACGGAGCAAGTCCAAGTGGGCTGATGTGAGAACACTGCAGGATAGATGGAAAAAACGTAGAAGTGAGTGCTGCACTGGGTCAAAAAAACAGAAAAACTAAATAAATGTAGAAAAATCAGGTGCTCTTCAGGAACAGGGGACAATAGTCGAAAAGCTAATAAAAAAGTTTGACTGTCCTGATTAAAAAGAGTAAAAATGAAGTGTGGAGAGGCAGTCTTAAACTGAAAGTCCGAGGCACTCTGATAACATAAAAATCCTTTATTTGTCAACACGTTTCAACTCTACCGAGTCTTCGTCAGGACTCGAAGGCTGCAGGATAGATATTTACTGTAGATATTTTCAGGAGTGCGTATGTGTTTATCAGAGTTTTTCTCCTCTAAAATCGTATTGCTCTTCTTCATACTACTGCGATATGTTTACTGATCTCTTCCCTACCAGTCCAGTTCTGGCATCGTAGCAGGCACAGCTGGGAAGACTACGGCAGCCCACGTATGCGATGAGAGAGGAGAGAGCCAGGCTGACGGTGCAGGTCAGAAGTATGGTGGCGTTGGCTCCCTTCACCATTCGATGAAGTACGAACGTCTGAGCACAGAGACAAAGAAGACACATCAATTCTACGTTGTTATTGTACATTTTATCACAATAGATTTCTATGAGGTCTTTCAAACAAATCCCATCCATAGTTTTTTTTGCATTTGGAAACCTCTCAAAGGTTAGTTTTTAATGTTCAATGGCTTGGAGCAGTTTGGGATGACCAGTAGAGACCAGGCCAATTAACAGGAGCTACAGCCCCGACTAGTGGCAGGTGGCTTCATTACAACTAAGACACAACATTTAACCAGCATTGTGGGCCAACATTGATAAAATAAAATATTAATGATAAGTTTAACCAAGGGTGAGGTCCACTTAGTCCACTTATCCCACACATCCCCAGTTGACACCGTATCATTGTGTGTGTGTGTGTGTGTGTGTGTGTGTGTGTGTGTGTGTGTGTGTGTGTGTGTGTGTGTGTGTGTATATGTGTGTGTGTGTGTTAGTTACCACTTCAGGACTGTGGTGGTGGTGGAAGACCTCCTCATCCTCCTCCCCGTAGGTGAGTGTCAGACAGGAGTAACCTGCTATAAACACTGCAGCCGCACACGAGAGTCCTGCTGCTACCACCATCATACTCACCTGAGGAGACAAGAAAACAAGTTCAGCTGTCAGGATGTTTTCTGCTACTTTTTGTCAACATTGTCTCGTGTTTACCTTTATCTTGAATCAGTGTGAAGATATCGGCCGGTCCTACAGTAGGTAGTACTTTTTTTCTTTTTTTTTTTACTGAATAATGCTTCTGGAAAGATGATTTAAATGTAGGAATAACATTTTTAAAGTTGTTTAAATAATCAAACCAGTGGGAAATTTAGCAAAAAGTATTTTGGAACAAAGGGTAAAGCTGCAAAGTAAGAACCCTTGTCTCAGACTCTGTGTGTGATTTTCATGCACAGGATCTCAAGGCGCAGTGAGGGAAGGAGGGTTTCCACTTTGGGCCCCTCAGAGTTTCATCTCTGCTCTTTGCAGATAATTCTGTTGTGCACGGCTTCTCCACCTCCAGCAGGCGTTGGGGTGGTTTGCAGCCGAGTGCGAAGCAGTCAGGATTAGGGTCAGCACCTCCATGTCCAACGCCATGGTTATCTATCGGGAAATGGTGTATCGCTCACTCTGGATGGGGAGTGAGTCCCTGCCTCAAGTGAAGGAGTATCTCAGGTCTTGTTCTCAAGTTCGAGTAAAAATGGATCATAAAATTGACAAGCTTGGCATATGATTATATTTTCTCTTCTTTGCCGCTATGTCCACTTCTGCCATATTCTTCTGAATGGCATCCAGTCACTGAATTTTATCCACGCCCAAACCCACCTGCACTCAGTCACTGAATGGGGGAAACACACCCACTCCCCACCCAGAAATATCTCGAGTCAACCAAAACATCACAATCCAGGCAGAGGAAAAAGGTCTCTGCAGACACATGTATCGAGGCCCATAAGTGATGATTGAGCAGCTTTACTTTTGTTTCGGTCTATATTTTATTCTCCAGGAAAATGTTTCTGACTCTACCGATTGTCAGCATTATCAAATTCAAACATCACAACATGTAACTGTGACAGGTAGTGTTTCAAATTGTTTCTGCAGTCCAAGTTCATAGATATCAGATATTTCGCTCCTTTCTACACAGAAGAAACTGACTGTGAAAATACCTACTTTTTGCTCTTTAATAGCGAAGCCCTGGCTGTCACATTCTGCTACTCATGGAAGAAGTAATGGGATTAAGAGGAAAACTCTACCTCGAGTTTAATAGTACACACACTCACCAGTATTGAGTTTTTTCTTTGAGAGGCAAACAGCGCCAGAATCCCCGGAGAGGCCATGATCTGTAAAGAAAGTCACAATGACCTGAATGAAGTGACAGATCTGGGGCCCATAAAAAGACTATTCAGCAGCTCTAATATAGACATAGATTCAAGTCCCAGTAGGCCTACGTCCCGTTATCTGTCTCTTCACTCACACCAAACCCCATTCAATTTTAAGGAAACTAAGGATTCTCTATCATAGACTCTTTGACAATAAAAAAAAAAGTGATTCATATCTCACCAGCCCTCCCCACACCGGTGTCCTGGTGGTGCTCAGCGCAGTATCCTTGCGGAAAACAGCGTCCATGAACCCGCACACCACACAAAGACCCGCACAGGCTATCTGGAGGATCCCGAGAATCAGCACGCTTCTCTGGTTGAAAATGAAGTACCTGTGTCGGTCCATCTCCAGGTGTTAACCCCACTACAAGTCCCGGTTTACAGTCAGTACCTGCTGTCCTCGGCCAGAAGTGGGCGAAACTTTAGTTTAGTTTGATGTCCGGCGTATTGTTTCTGGCTTTCAGAGACAAAAACATGAGTCCAGGTGGTGATAGTTCTGCGGGAACTGTTTCTGAAACCTAAATGATATCTCTTGTCACTTCAGAAAGCTCTAGTATGTCTGTATTTCTCTGGTGGAATATATCTTCCGGGCTGCAGGTTGGTTTCACTGTTGCTTCAGCAGATATAGGAAGTTTATCCATTAACCTGGCTGGCCAGCAGCAGGTGGAGGGAAGGGAAACGGGATTTTTCTATGCCCAGAGTTTGGACTCCCAGGCTGCCTGGCCCCGCCCCTCTGTTCTTGCGCTGGGATTGATTTAGACCTTTAACAAAAAGAGGATTATCAGAAATACAAAATGAGCGATTGAAACAAATATATAGGCTATGTTATGCACTTTGAGAAAAAAGTTGAAATGTCGAGAATACAATTGTACGGAGCCCCTGAAGTCAGAATCAAATACATTTTTTGTGCACACATTTTTTTTTTACTTTTTCGGACTTCATGAGCTCTGTAATTTCCTTTGTCTGGCTCTGATCCTCTTCCATTAATTTGTCAGTGGAAGTATGAAGTATGACATTGAACCATAGGATGGATAAAAGAAAGTTGAATCCTGACATACATTAAAAATGTATCCAATAAAATAAGTCTCAGAGGGATATATTGTAGTGGAAAAATACTATCTGTCTGTTGTCTTCGTTTGACCTTAAAAGATTAGGATGTTCGTGCGACATTTAGCAATTACAAACTGTTTCTCTGTATGGCCTTGGTCTGTATCTCCAACAGGAACACTCCTCAGGATCTGGGTACAGCATGATCCTAAATCATCAGGCAAGCTGAAACCAATGACCATGTATCACTCATGTATATGCAAAATACCTACACCCTGTGAAAGTATAAATATGCTCTGCAACCGGGACTCTTTGATGCACTTGTGACTGATGTTACTTTTGTAGCTGATTACCCCTTTTGCAAAATAACTTTTTATTATATGCAATAAAATACACAAAGACAAAAGACTTTGACTTGAAATCTTTTATTACCAACAGAAAAATCCACAACAAACTTGATGTCAGAAGTGGGATTCCAAGCTGTTCGCCGTATCCACGGCAGACGGTGACTGATCATCCAGGACTTTGAAAAAGATCGTCCTGCCTCAACCCTGAAAGTTTGAAGGTCGAGAGGACCGACTGCATGGACTGCGGCTGTCACCTCGGAATCCAACGAACGAGAAAACCTCCTAATTCACGGTAAAAACATTCTGATCTCACAATTTAAAAGTCAAAGGTCACTGTGTATTCTAGGACAAAATTGAAAAGTTAAGTTTCTTCCATCTTACGGCCCTATAACTAAGAGGTAGTTAGAATAAAGGAAGTTCAGGTGACTTCGCCAGGCCCGGAGGACTTCAGGTGACTCCTTGAATCCGGTAAACTTGGAAAGACCAGTGTAAAGGTAGAAATTTACACAGATTGATCAGGGACGCCCGATAATCTTCCAGGACAGACACCATGGGGTCTGCAGGGAGTGAGATGGACGGGCTTGACCTGCAAGGTCCAATTTTTGTGTTTATGAAAGGGAAATACGGAGAAAAATGTTTGTCATGTGTCGAATATTGGATAAACGAATGTGGATTTCCTGATAAAGGAAGTCTAAGCGTGAATCAACTGATACAGTTACAGACGTGTTTGAAAAAGAAGGAAGAGAAGGTTAAGTCTAAGAAAAGATTAACAAAGAAAAGTTGGAGGAGATTGAAAGACGAATGTTGGAAAATATGGATGACAGAAGCAGATGTCAGACTTAGGAAACAGACAGGGAAAGTTTTACCAAAAATGAAATGAAAAATGATGAAAAAGAAAAAACAGATGCTTTCACTGATAACCCCACCACACCCCCTGTGTCTGCTCTCTATCCCTCTCTGAACGGTGGAGTTCGAGGCAAAGAAGGTTGGGTTCCCACCTACATGGCTCCACCTGCCCTGCCCCACAGCAACAGCAGCTCCTGCAGTTCTTGCCACCACCATACCCCGGACAACAGCCCATCATCAACCCCCATAACCCCTTCCACGAACAACCTCAGAACATGCCAAAACCAGAGCTTTCCTCAGCCCACAGACTGAGGATGAACAACTGACGCGCAATCAACACCTCCAAGGAGCCCAGACACATCCTCCTCTGACGAAGATAATAAACCCAACAAATCCTTGTTTGAATCCTTACTTGGCAAAACTTTGTCCGAAATTGTCTCCCCAACACCCAAAGAAACACCCAGAAGGTCAGAAAGACAGAGGAAGCTGACCTCTCACTGCGGGACAGAAGATATTCCCGCACATATGACCCCACCAAATGTTTTAACTGTGAGAAGCATGGCCACTGGGCCAAAGACTGTCCAGAAACACCAAGAGAGAGGGGGACGGAGGAAACCGTCGCGGGGCTGGCAGGACAATGAACAGGTTCCCTATGCCTCGGACTGACCATCAGAGAGAGGAGTTGGTAATGTACCCGCACACACAACACACACATTACACGCTCCACGCAATGAAAAGCCGCTTTGCACTGATACACTGCTTGGCTTAGTTCAACAAAGAATAAATGTTCTAGAAACCCCTCCCAAAGGAAAGGAGGGTACTTATACCCATCTCTCCTCTGAAGCTTATGAGAAAATGCCAATGATAACATGTAACATTAAGGGACAGAATGTTGAATTTGTAGTTGACTCAGGAGCCACCCACTCAGTTGTAAAAACATCTGAAATGTCGTGGCCGTTTTTCATGGTCACGAGTGCCTGTGGTTCTTGTGTAAAGGAAAAGTATGGG